GCCCCGGACACACCGCACAACGGCCAGCTCGGGAGGAAATTGTTTTAGAAAACACTTGGGGAGCAACGCGTCCCACACAGCCACGTCAAATCTAACTGTCATCGGCGAGCGGTTATCTCTGCTTTACAAAATTGATGTCTTTGATTAAAATACACCCGGAGCCCCTTTTCCTTCAAATTTTTTAATCCACCCTTGATGAAGTAGGAAGGAGGGTGCTCCCCGTGTATGACCCATCGTCACCGAAGCAAACGAGACCAGTTGTTTCAGAGGACCTGAAATGCGGAGACTTACCCTGACGAGGTCATGAAGGAAGGTTTTCACGCTGTCTGCCATCTTGACTCCAGCATCACCTCTGGTTCCGAAACTATCAACTACAGGGAGAGGGGAAAAGCCGAACCCAAACCTCTCTCATCCTGGAGAGATGGGAAACGGATAGAGCCTGCGAAGAGAGAAAACACGGGACCACGGCAGCATCGTTAACAGCATTGGTCTGAGTGGGGTAATTACAAGCTAAATCACACCCCGCTGATTTTCCACAGGCTTCCCTGCGCTCGCTGGCTTCCCATCGGGCAACCGCCCTCGAACACACGGCCAGAGAAAGGACCCGTCCTGTTAATTCCACGGTATCTCCTGTTAACAAACTCGGGGTTTCAGGAACAGCAGAGCCTGTATTTCTAGGCAGCAAAACATCTCTCCGAACAACTTGCTGTGCCGCTCATTTTTGGAAAAGAAAAGCCGGCAGAGCCAGCCCAGAGAGGTGTGAAAACATCTTTGCTAAATCCAACGTTAATTTAACACTTTACAGCTCCGCGCCTCCTCTTCCTCGCGCGCCAGGGAAGAAACTCGAGGTCTACAATTAGGAGCCTGACAAAATGAGGGCTGCTCTTGAGCTGTCCCATAAGCTTTTGCCCAAAGCAGTAATTACTCCAAACAGCCCTTTGCCAAAAATGTTGTGCTGAGTCTTCTGCTTCTTGTGAAGCGCCACAGAAATACAGACAGCGTCTGAATTAAGAAAAAAAAAATAACAAATCACCAGCTAATAAAACTCGTGGAGCTTTTCCACCAGGATTCAAACCGCTTTTTCTCCTAGGCAGGAGCTACCGGCAGCTCTGGAGCAGGCTGGTGTCGCGAGCCCCAACATGTTGCTCTGTAACACGCAGCGCAGGATACAAACAATTAAAAATAATTAAAAAAAAAATTCATTTTGATTATTCCGAGACAAAACCTGCCAGGGTTTGAACAGCGCCTCTGCGAAGCAGCGAACACCAGTTCGGATAAAACTGCGGAAGCAGAACTGGCCTCCAGCTTTATTGACATCAGGTTAATCACAGGCACCTTCACCCTAAAATCAAGCTTTCGAAGCGGACACGCTCGGCGTCGGGGTCTTTTCGCTTTAGCCAGGTGTCCGAGGCATCCACGGTCCGGGTCACGCTGGCAGAGCCGCGGCAGAAACAAAAGGCAGAAACGAGCGTTTTCTTTGTTCCAGGCGACCGTGCCTCGCCACCCTTTGGGCTCGGAAACGTACGTGTTAAATACGGCGAGACCCGACTGCTGTACGGTCCTGGCTTCTGCAGAAAGCCCTGCCTGATTTATTTTTACCTAGGGGTATTCCTGGGTAACTGGGGGGCACCCCAGGGTTGAGGGTCACTGTGCAAGGGGGGGATCCTCATAGCACCCAGAGGTGCCCAGGATGGGGAGCCTAGGCCTGCCCCACAGTTAT